CGGGTGGTGGAGCCGCCACGCATCCACTACTCCAAGTGTCCTGAGCCACGACATGCATTCACTTCTGCCTGTGTGGTGTGTGAGGTGACCAACCGTCGAGTCGACGTCGCAGTTCATGCGAGGCAAACGTTCGAAAAACGCCTTGCCAGTGTCGTTGGACACAGGGGCATACATGTTATGAAAGTATACGTCGCGATCCCCGCACTGCGTGTGCACCACCATGTATTTGTCTCTAACATCCAGCTGTTTGAGATGCTGGGGTGAGCATAGCCAGGTGTACCTTTCTGGAAGTGAAGCATCGCAGCTGCGCCAAGGCTCTACCACTTGTGACTCCGGTTGTCGTTCGTGGCGAGAAAGTAGTTGGCTACGCCGAGGGAATGATCCAGATGGAAGCGGTTTGTCGTACTGGATGTTGACCGCAAATGTGGTCTCTTGGAGCGCGACCACTGTATGGCGCATCAAGAGGAGGTGAATGGACGGTGCCCATTTTCCTTGAAGCCTTTGATATTTGACGTCAAAAGAGACAACTCGGTTGTGATGGTGTCATCAAACATGATCAAACATGATGTGGAGACGTCTCGTGTGCGGAAGACGTTGTGTGCGTTGGGCGTAGGAGGCCTAGGTTGGTTGAATTGCCGTGTGGTGGTGGTGACAGTTGATTTTGTGGACGATGCAGTGCGGATAGGGCATCCGCGGCGCCCTTAGAACAAGTAAGGAGTTGTAAATCTCAGTTCGACATCCTCGCCGTCGAATGCGACCATTTGAATGCCCTCCAAGCGGTAACCACTAAGCATGCCCACGGGATGAGCCTTACTCATAGCTTGGACGAGAGTGGGACCAAACGTGGAGTGCAGGAGGCCCACAGGGTAAAAGATGACAGCATGTGTCGTGCGGTATCCCGGCAGATAACCAAATAATGGGCTGTTTAGTCATGCACACTAGCGAAGCCTCATTGCCGAAGCACTGGCCAACGTACACGTTATCGGGGTGCCAGTCCATGCGATCAGACTTGATGCGCATGCGACAACATCCTACTCGTCCGTTCACTTTCCGTGACGATGGTGATTGGATGTCCATCGAGAGGACTGAGATATGTTAAGCGGCATGGTCACGACGCGTGGCGACATGTTGATCAGGTCCAAGGAGTCGTACATGTTCTCTGAGAGCCATGTGAATTTACGGTCCATCGGTGTGAGTTTGAGTTTGAGCGGATATTTAGGTCGTTCGAAACCTCTAACTACTCTGCAGGTGGTTGACGATAGGTTGGTGCCAATCATGGTTGGCATGTCGTCGAGTACAGCGGGGATGTGCCCTCGTCCATTGGCTCGTCTAGTTCATGCGAATTACTGTACTCAGCTGGGTGCCATGCTTCAGTCTCGGGTGGAGAGCGTGAGAGTGGTTCCGCACCAACGCCGAGTCGACACGAGCTCATTTACTAAGATCATGCTCCTCCTGCGTTGCTGGCAATGACTCATCCGTCGCGACAACGGTGAGTTGGTCGAAGCCCAAGCAATTAGGTGAATATCGATCATTGCAGGAGCTGACGATTTAACGAAATCTTTTACACAGATCCCGTACGACATTTGTTGCATGCAGGTAGATTTGGTCCACAGGGTGGCCTTGTACCTGTACCTCGACCGCATCGAAGGCTGGTTAAAGTAAACCCGCCAAATATTGGGATGCACCATTGAGATGCAATGTGTGGACGTGTTCGCCATTTTATAGCAGATGAACACAAGACGAGGTTTCAAGCAGCGAAGCGCTTTGAGAAGTGCCTGTGAGTCAAAGTTGTAGCGGGTGCCAACAATGTCCATGTAATAGAGATTCTGCAACTCGTCGTGTTGCTTAGGACCGATCCACGGTGGGCAGAAAAGATGGAGCAGCCACCGTGTACGAGTCTCCGAGGATGCGGACGGTTTGTCCGAGCATGCCAAGCCTAATTTTGTCAACTGTGACGGTGACAACGATGTCACCCCTCGAGCTTTGTAAACTTGCACAAACCGCTCAAAAGAGCGCTCCAATTTGCGTCACGGTTGTCCCGAAACATGCCCTTAATGATCTTGTGATTCGATTGGAACGACAAGGCATAACCCGTGGGCTAACCTTCCACTGGTCCAATGGGAGAAACTGTTCCACTCAAATTAAACGCCGAACTGCCTCCATGGAGCGAAATTCCACGACCATACTCCACACACAATACCGCACTCGACCAAAGCATGGCGCGCCGTCTCTACGGCTTCACAACACTGGTACGAGCACACAGCGTAGTGATGGGGGTTTTTTCCCATTCCGACCACACCATCAGCCAAAATGGTGTGAGCGCAGGCTGATTGAGTAGTAATGTTCGAGTGTTTGAGGCATAGGCAGAACATCCCAGTGCGTGGGACGGAAGTACCGCCCTGTGCACCTCTTCCACAGTTAGGGTGAAAGAATCAACACATCTCCTGGTTTTCATGACTCCAACGACCAGCAACTGCAGCCTCTGGACCCATTGGACCCGAATTTGTGACGGAATGGGTACTCGCAGATCAACTGAACGGTCGTGGGCCAGACCGGAGTTGGTGGGGGCTATATACTTGTCCTCGCGGCGGACACGCTGACCCAGAAGGTTTACTTGGCTACCATTGACTGCCACTTCGTAGCCAACTCTGCAGGCATGGGGATGGCCGCGGTGTAGTGCCATAGTTTCGATAGGATCATGGTGTTAACGACAAGGCGTCGTCCTTGCAACGTACGAGCTCTGCAGCCCCATGTGATGAAGGACTGGTAGAACGAGTGGAATAACAACTTCAGCTGCACTTGAGACGTGAGCTGGCGACCTACGTGGATGCCCAAGCAGAGGATGGGAACTCCACTCCGCACCATGTTCAACCTGGGATGGTCGATGATGCCTTGATTACTGTTAAACGCGAGCACCTTACTTTGCTACGATTGAGCCTGGCCCCTGCCATCAAGCAGAACTCGTCAACAAGGTCGAGTTGGCGCTCGATGTTCTCCAGTGACGATGCCAGGATCGTTGTGTCGTTGTGGCGTCTCCCGGGCGCTCAGATATACCAAACAATGAACACAGGGATGGGGGAGCAGTGGACTCCCGGGCAAAGCTTGTGGTGTATATTGAGCACTCGGAGGCAAATGCAAGACTGACTGGGGTAGCCAGTTGGCTAAACCAGTCTAACTAAAACTCAATATAAACCCCCTTCGGCAAACGTCCAATCAGATCCTTGGGTTAGTCAGTTCCCATCGGATCTTCATACAGAACATGGCCTTTCTGCCTAAGGCCTCTTCATGTTCTCACCGACACACAAAGCCGCCCGGAGCCGCCCACCGCAGTCGGGCCCGGCCGCCAAGGTGGCACCGACCGGGCGTAACGAGTGGCAGCTAGGATCACGGGTAATCCATCTTGGCGAACGCAACACTCCCCCCATGCCCGTGTCCAGCGCCTAGCGCATGTCAGACAGCTGTCATCAATGATATGATGGAGGGTCTCACAACTGCGCTAGGGCCTCGACCAACCCCACGCGTTTCGCGCCGTTCGGCAACTGGTCGGCGAACGACTGTACGAGGGATGGAATCTCCCTGTACATCGCTGGGAGCTGTTCCCAGCTTGATTCATGACTTTCCAAGCCTTTCCATTGAATGAGCAATTCCCACTGATTAGAATCAGGGTTGCATCGCGCGTCTTCGATTTTTCCAACGGCAAGCGTTGTTCCTTGCTCGCTGATGTGGTCCAAGATCTCCTCCGTGATCATAAAGTGACTCTCTGCATAGAACTTCAGTCTTGAATGATGGGCTTCCCTTTGGGTGCCAGTGATGAGGTGTTCTATGACACATGAGTACGGCAGACATTCGATCACTCGGTACGGTCCTGTCCACGTGACCAGTAGCTTCGGGTAGTGATTGTTTTCATCGACTCTTGACCAGAGTACAAAGTCTCCTTCAGTGACTTGCATCTCCACTTGGTTCGCTTTCTCAGGCATTCGCTTGTTTTCAGCAGCTCGCCGTCGGTTGATAATGGATGAATGGATTTCCTGCAGACTCCTTCGTAGGCAGTTTGCAAATCCGTGCGTTCCCACTTGATTGTATTGAAACCTGTCTTTGACAAGTTGGCATTGATTTTGCCTACAATGGTAGTGAGAGGTGTCGTGGGCTCCAGGCCGGTGAAGCATTCCATTGGACTCATGTGGTCCAACGTCGCGACAGGCGTTTGGTTAATATTGGCTTGGACAAGTGGTAGCAAGTAGTCCCATTCGGTTTCTTTGAGCCTGGTTTCGCGCAGCATGATTCGCATGAGCCCCAGGATGTCGCGGTTGACACGTTCGACTGTGCCATTGCGCCATGGGCAATACGCAAGCACTATATTGTGCTGCACGTTGAGACGTGTTGCGAGCTCGTTCATAACCGTATTCTTGAAGTGACTGCCGCTGTCCGAAATCCAAACCTCGGGCACACGTCAACGCTTCCGTGAGTCGTTGTTGCAAGGGATGGACTGTCTGTACAAATCCGATAAGACTGTCGCGTATCCAATTGACAGCGCAGATAAATTGCTGTAATTCTCCAGCCGTTGATGGGTAAGGAATCTCATACAACGCCTGGATTCGCTGAGGGTCTTGACGCACCCCGGTCCCGTCGATGATCCTTCCGCACCACTTGATCTCTTGGCACAGAAGCCTGCTCTTTCTTGGGTTAAGGCGCAGTCGGTAGATTTTGCACACTTCGAACACTTGGCGCAGTACTTGAACGTATTCCTCGAGGGTGTTTCCCCAAACGAGAATGTCGTCAATCCAAATAAGCACGTTTTTGTAAAGTAGATCCTTGAAACAGGTGGCCATGGTGTTCTGGAAGAACAACGCTGAGTCGCAGTGTCCTTGCATTACCCTCGTTGGGGTCAGAATGCGGTAGCCAAGCATGAACGATAGCAATTCTTGAGACTTGGGTGCTAATGGCAGCTGCCAAAAACCTTTCGTAAGGT